GTTCAACATCTCTGTCCCTCTCGCTGTCTACACTCTACAAATGGATGTTATTTTCTGTGAAAATGAGTTACTCACAGACTGCTGAAAGCCTGACGCGAATCTCTGACACCAACAGTCACCGGGCCAAAGCTGCGGTGCACAACTGGAGCCACAGCTGAACCCCCCTACCATAACGGATCTCCTTTACTTGTTGTTTTTTTTCTCTTCATCTACGCTTCTATCTTCGCCATCATTTTTTCCAACGGGTCTTTGGGCACCCCTCGTCGCCCTCCTCGCCCCGGTATCTCCTCCACTCTGGAGAGGAGGGGGTCAATGGAGTGGGGCATGAGTGGGTGCCACTACACCTCATCCCCGCCGCCAGAGCGGGAGCGCAGGTACCAGCACAAGGTGTCGTTGGTGGTGCGTTACTTCATGATCCCCTGCAACATCTGCCTGATCCTGCTGGCCACATCTACGCTGGGATTCGCCGTCCTCTTGTTCCTCAACAATTGTACGTTGGTGAATATTAACAACAAACCTGCTCCTTCACTTTGTCACAAATGGAGGCATTGTACAGTACAACACTTGAGCTTTGCTCCACTGCTTTCAGTCCTGCAATTATTGATACATCTGAGACTATTTTGTACTTTTTTAAGAACAATTAATAATGATCTATTTGAACAAAAAAAGGAAGATAAAACATACCAAAAGGTGGTGTGAGTGAGTAGATTTAATAGATTTGGAGTTTTTAGTAGTGAAAAACCGAATACATCACATTTACACTGTCCCATGTAATTGTCTGTTTTTCCCTAAATGTGATAATAATTTCTAGAAATGATCCTATATTTGAAATATCGAAGTTTGACAACGTACTCAGCAGAAAGGAACTGAGAAACCTTTTAAACGACTTCCATTTAGGAACGTACTTTCAAAACCAGTTGTGTTTGGTAGTGGACACAGCAGAGCTGGCTGCTGAAGCCTGGCCTCACCTCTCATGACAGCCTTGTCTGCAACAGAGCTTGGCATCAAGACAGGGCTTAACTCAGACCCGACTTTCTTTGATTGTTTGTCTGTGGGCTTAAAAAAAAAACTGCTTCACATGAACCCACCAAAGCCTTGACATTTACTTTGAACTGCAGGATGAAGTATTAACTGCTGATTAAATGCCTAAAGAGGATGAGGAAAATATCTTTTGCAGTGGAAACCCCAACCTCTCCTGTCATCTGCTGCCACATTACTCACATCGCGCTGAATACTGGAAGTGCAGTGGCTCACTCTGTGGAAGGAGGGTGTCTTTAATGCCTCTGCCCCTGTCAGCTGTGGCACTTTTGATATAGAAGGGGTGTCAAAGAGTTTTCTGAGAGTTTAATGGAGGGAAGTCCAAAAAGGTTTTTTTTTTTTTTTAGAGGCAGATTGAATAATGTAAAATTAATCGAGAGACAAGTGGTATTCCCGCAGTACTTTGGGGTGTGATTAAAATGCACAGTTTTCACAGCGTTTCAACAACTTTATTTAGCTCACAACAGCTGCTTTGGTTTAAATGATAGATTGAAGGAATGGTTTGGTTTAAACTAATGGTTAACAAATACCAGCAATAAAAATAAAATTAGCAAACCAAAGCTAACTATTTGTGCAACAATTACCGGGAACTACCCTTTAACTATATTACTGCGTCTTAGCCAACAGAGTGTAAGTCTAACCAGGCTTAAAAAGCACATTTTTGTGACTTGAGATTTGACCTTTGACTGTGAGTTCATGGCGTCTCATTTCCAATTGTGCTCGTTAAAGTACCTTTTTGTCTCAGCCTCAATGAACCGACGTAGCATTTTTTTCCCCTCTACATTACCATCAGCACTTTTTCACTCCTGTCCTGGCTTTGACAAACATTCCCTTCTCTCAGACTCACCAACAAAATTTGAATTTTGCCGTGTCATTTCTGTTTTTAAGCAGTTACTCCTCTTAACTCGCCAAAGTGGACTGCCATTATTCATGCAAGACTTGTGTCACATAATCACTTGCAAATTGCCCGAGGTGGGAAAACAGGGATGAAAATAAGCAGCGCTGCCCTTTTCATGCTGCAGAATTCAGTTTAGTGTCACATTAGAGTTACAATTTTCAGAGGAGCGATTGCGTTGATGCTCGTAAGTCATGGTTGTTTTCCCATGTCACACATTTATCTCTTTACGTCTCTTATCAATCTGTTGATTTGTACCAAACAGGCTGCCCGGCCTTGAAGATGCTGCTGCGTTATGTCTTTATATTCTCCGCTCCTTTTCGCCTCATTCTCCTCCTCAGTGAATGTGTGTGACCAGAGAGGATGGTTTATTTGTAACCTTGTCGTGTCACTGAATCAATTCCTGTCAGACAGATTCTATTTGATTTAATGCGAACACGGAGAAGAAAGCAAATCTTCACTTCTCAGACGACTGGGAGGGGAAAATATGTGACGAGGTAAAAGTGGAGTCTGTTGTTCTGCTCAGAATTCTTCACCATGTGGCCACAAGGACAGCTGGGTGGGATCGTGATAGTGTGGCTAAGAAATGTGTGTTTGCGTGCATTTGGCTGGAGGAGGGGTGTTGAAGGAGTCATGGAACAGCAGATTCACAATTTCTGCTGCGGCCATATGGGTTGAAGAGCGCTCCCATACACACACATGCAGTTTGTAGCCCCTCCCTGAAACCTTACTCTGTTGAACCATACACCACCACTACAAAGGTGACGCTCACATAGACATGTAGCTGTTTGGGAACGATGCTAAATGTCACAGTAGAACACATATTGATCTGCTGGAGATATATAGTGAATGACGACCGTGCTGTGACATTCACATGGGAACAGGAACTGGGGGAGGATTTCAGAGAAAAGACAGATAGAAAAGGCTGATATGTTCTTACAAAGACCGTTCCTTCATTTTCCTGTCATGGAAATGAAGAGAAATAATTTACCTTGGCTCAGCAATAGTTTGGCCACTTCCAATTTTGGTCCCGCCGTGTGTGACAATATGTCTTATGTTCATTTTTAAACCTGTGCTCAGACATGCTTTTAAACCTGAGAGAGGAAGTAAAGACTGCATAGATGTCTGGCATACAAAACCTCCCCAGATGGAAATCAGTTACCATCATGACAGACTGGGAAAAGGCTTCAGCAGACACTTCATTATTCACATGGATCACCAGTCCTACCTTCTCTCTCCTCATCTCTCCCTCTCTCCCTTCTTCCTCCCTTTCTCACTCCAGCACACTTTTTCCTTCCTGCCCTGAAGCCCGGCTGTTGACAAGCAATTTTAACTGAGCCTAAATTTAAAACTCAACTCCGTCTGTGGATGCCGATGGGTATAGCGCAAGTCCCCAGAAAGGCCTTGGTGCGGAAGTTGATGGGGGTCCCACGAAAATGTGTTAGTGTTGTAATTGATGCGATTTGTTTTACCTTCCTCATTATCCCTCACAGTGTAGAGACAGTGCAGGAGACGGGAAGGTGGCTGAGCATACTGACTGAATATGTGTGTGTGTGTGTGTTGGTGTGTTTGTTCAGTGCAGGCAGCTCTGACAACTCATCACGGCTCTGCTCAGTGACTCACACAGACAATCTGACTGTGAGCGTACAGATAGTGGTTGTGATGGGTCGCCGTCACCGCTCCTGGGCCGTGCTTTCTCATGCGGAGTGTTGACGATGTTTGCTAATTTATTGGTGATCTTTAGCGTACGATGACATCTTTTGGTCACAGAATTGGTCACTGTTCACACAACATACGACATGACTCCAGTGGAACGTGTTCTGCATGACAGCATTCATTAATGAGAATGTTTTTATATTTATCTGCATCTACTGGTTTCCATCAGATCACAAGAAATTTAAGAATGAACATTTGATTTGGAATGACTATTCATTTGCAAGACAGCCAAAGAACATGCTAAATACATACAAATATATATAGTAATATTACTGTTCCAGTTCTAGTGGCTCCTTTAGCTTCTTACAATATATGCAGTTTAAATTTAGTACAACTTTTTAGTTTTTGGTTGCATAATATTTATTGCCTAATTATTAAATGATGGTGAACACACAGTTGTACTGTATGTTGTCTGTGTTTCCAGTTTGGGTCCTTAAGAGATACGTGGGAGGGAAGAGGCGTTGTACTCTCACTGTGCAGGCACACGGGCATTAATTAAAAGCAGATATTGTGAAAGTGCTGTACCTCTAGACATTATGTTATATTTTTATATTTTTTCCAAAATATGGTTAAAAGATGTCAATGTTTTATTTCCAAAGCCATGTTTGCCTCAGCTAAGAAAACAATATGCTAGCAGAGAAGTAGTTTCTTGGTACCACCTGAACATGTACTGTTACTGCACACAGTACATTAGCAGTTCTTGTTTGCCCTTGTTTTCTGTCATTGAGGTGTCAACAGTGCCAGACTCAAGTTTCATGAGATTTTCCCCTGTACACCGCTGTGCAGCCAGTCATATGATACTGCGGGTTTGTCTTAATGTTCCCACACACCAGCGAACCATGATGTCATCCATTGTTGGGTGTTGACCAAGAGAGAATGATGTCATTTGATATGTCAGGGGGAAAGGGTTGATTCATTTTGCATGTGTTTGCTTGGAGATGTGGGACACCCCTGCAAGTCATCACTGCTGTAAAAATTTAAAATCTTTTCTCACACATTTCTATCCCAAAATAACATAGAGCACCTGCGGTTCCATTTCTCCAGTGTTTTTATTACGCCCAAAGTCACAGATTGTGGTTTTTGAAACGAGACCAATGAGGAACAATGGCGGATAAAACAATGATACAGTAGTCCTGCTATCACTGAAAGGTAGCCGCCTCGATTAGCTGAGCTGGGCTCCTGAGGGGCCCGGGCCGGTGCATTAGAATGTGTTAGACAGAATAGACATCCCTGTGGATAGAATGTGTCTTCTTTTTTTTATGGTGACTCAATTACTTTGCCTTTACCTCTGGGAAGTCTCTGAATCCCCCAAAACTAAAAACCTATTTCTTTTTTCTTTTATCTCTTTCAGACAAACCTCCTCACTTCTCACCAGTCCAGCCTCCTGATGGTAAGTCCACTGTGATTTCGCTCTGCTTGCCTCCATTGACCACTGGTATTTACGGGGGGTGCCTGAAAATAATGACCTCAGACGGCTTTGGCGTTCTTTGAAGAGGGTAGCCGCCTGTGTCTGGTGCCAAATCTTTTTTTTTCCTCCAATGTTGGTATGGGAGGCACGTGGCCAGGTCTCCTCTGAGTTCTGAAGTAAAGATCATTGTTTGATGACTTCTTCTCCACGGCCTTGGTTAAGCCAGTGCTCAATACCTATTAGCTCAGCAGTATTTACATCCTTATAATTGGGTTTAATAGGATGATTTCCTCCTTGTCCCGAATAATTAGCATCGCTTAACCTGAACTGAATTACAGTATTTGGTTATCTCTAAACCCTACTTCCAAACAGATGGTTAACCCCATGAAACGCACTCAAATGTAGAAAGGAAAAAGGTCTAAAGAAAAGGTAAGGAATACAGAAGAACTTAGTTTACAACTTGAAAACTTAACCTCACTCATAATAAACCAAAATGTTACCAATTGGCCACATTCCCATTTCTTTAATATTTATATATATTATTTTATTTCTAAAAAATAACGTATTTTACCTTTAGCTGTGCAAGTGAATGATATAACGCCTGGACTGCAGGCAGGCCTGGAAAGTTCAGAACACACTCATTGTCATCACTGGCACCAATGAATCACTGGTGCATGCATTTCCATCATGCTTAATAAGTTGTTTGGGTCTTTTTTTTTTGAGCCGTACCAGAGCTCCAAACATGAAACATGTCAATTATTTAATGCCTTGTAGACATGGGGTACAGAGCAGCCCCATCACTCCCTACCCTCCTCATTATCTAACATATTGTCCCAAAAAATGATTTTTTTTTTTGCAGTTAGTCTCTGAATAAGAAACATTTGCTGGTGATTACAAAGAAAAGTTTTTATCCAAAACGCTGGATCTCAGAAAGCTTTAATTGGAGGAAAAACAGCTGGTTTTCAAGCTGCTGTCATGAATATTTATCAACAGCGACAGCGTGTTTCATGGACTTGTGTCGGCGTTATAATTCTCCACTGCCTTGACAGGGATGAGCTCCTGCTAGTTCAGACGGTGTCATAACGCCTTGCTACTTGCTACAAAGACAGAGCTTTTTGGTGGATACAAGCAAACGGAGAAAAAACATTTCTAATGACCTGAGCTGCCCCGCTGATGCCAGGGACAAAAGGCCGCAGTGGGAACTGGCTGGCTTTTTCTAGTAATTGCTCTACGGGTCATTTTATTTGGAAAAGCTGTTTTACAGAAACTGTCGGCCGGAACAAACACACACAATCAGAAGTGCTTTAATATGAATGCAATTGCTTGCACAAGTTAGGACAATAGATCTGTTACTACCTCCACTTGATTGATGCACTTTTCCAAATGGCCTGGCCTCAACTTAAGAGGAGTGGGCAATGTACTCCCTCCCCTTAATATCAAGATTCAATTTCATCTGCAGCAGAGTTTGAAACAGCCATTTGTTTTTGTTTTAATGACAGATGAAATTGACTTGACAAATCATTATATCTCACTGAGAGGTCTCCATTTGTCTGTTTTTGAAGCAAATGTGTCCATAAATTTCAGTCCTCCACGGGGAAAATGAGAAACAGTATGCGGCCGCTGAAACAGCCTATTTATGACTCCCTTTGAATTTTCCTCCACAAAAGAAGTAACGTCCTGCTTATCGATCCGACCACTCGTTCCCCAAGTAGTCAACTTTTTTTTTTTTTCTCTGTCTGTGGGGCGCGCTTTGTTTCTGCACAAGTCAACCGTTTAAAAGCTGCTGGTGGCCCTTAATTACTTTTGCAATATTACGGTAGGCTCTCCATCAGCAGCCTGTGTTGCTTCAATATACCAAACAAAATAAAAAAGCAAAATCCCCATTCAGTGGATAAGCCAGCGCTGTGGGACATAGTTTCTCTGGGTCATTTAACGCTAGAGAGATTAGTGAGACAATTAGTGTTGGCCCAAATACGACAGTAGACCACTTGTTGGAGATGTATGGTTTAAGTAGTGGTGGAGGGGCAATTTAGAAGATGTGGTGTAAGATGAGCACAGGGCTGATAGGGCGCTGCTTTTAGTCAAAACTGCTCCAAAGTGCACATGGCTTTTTTTTTTTCAACTTAACTTGTCCTTTGCGCCAAGGACTCTCCACTCGCCAGTGCTTAATTACAGGAAATCACAGACAAGATACCAAGGACTCTGCATTTTTAAACAGCCTCGTTTGTCTCTGAACTGCCGTTGATGAGACGTCCTTATTAGCATGAAGAGATTCTGCAGAAAGCAACAAGGAATTTGTTTGGAGCATTAGAGCAAAAGAATCTTGGGACTTAGTGGGGTAGAAGTGCACGTTCGGCATAACATGAGCGAAGCCGTTTGGTGATATTTATGGCGTGCACCACCCGCAAATAGCTGACGAATCCTCCCCACTGAATGGCCTATAATCACCAGTCAAAAAGTGACAAAAGTCACAAAGAAGCCTTTAATTAGGCTCCTTTTCTGAAATCCCAGAGAAGCACTTGCTTGGCTCGGGCCGTACTCATTATTCTCTGACTTCTCCTGATAATAAGACAGTTGTTGCACTTTTGGCCAGAGCTAAAAAGCACAGAGAATGTGCTCCTCCAGGGATTAGTATCCAAGTGCAAGAAATGCTGGGTAAAAGGGGCTTCTGGGTCTAATCTTCTTCTATTATCATCGTCCACATTCAGTGGAAATAGACGTGGCTATACGCTGTCTTAATAAAAGTGGCAGAAGGTTTCCAGGTTTTAACATTGTTTTAGTGTTTAATAAATTGGCCTATAAGCAGATCACATTATGTTCGTTCTCTCGTTCTGGCGCAGAGGCATTGATAGTAACATTATTTTTTCATGAATTTATTAATTTTCGCAAGTGACTTTTTCCATTTTATTATATTTTTTATTTTTGTTAAGGAAGTGTGCTTAAAAAGGAGCATTTTATTCCTCCTGTGCTGGCACAGAGGCATTAACAGTAACACTACATGGGAAGAACAACAATTTTACATGTATTCATTTTACAAATTATCTCTATCTTAGCTTCTGTTGCAATAGGGTCCCTACGACCGAAAAGGCTGTTTCTCTTGTGCAGGCACAGAGGCATTAATAGACACACCACAGGGGAAAGTCAAAATAGATGGGAAGCTGTGTGAAGTTTTTGAAATCAAAATCTACTGCCTAGCACTCTTTGGTTTCTTTTATGTTATAATTGGTTGTCATCTCCAGAATAAACACGACTTTTAAGCAGGGGTCTGTTGATGGTGTGTGCAGGAGGGAGTGGGCTGCCTGTACTGTGACAGTGGAGTTAAAATCCACAGAGCAGAACTGGCACGACAAGAGGAATACTTGGGTAGTATAACAGTGGAATAAGTAGGAGAATGTTTCTAACTGACATGTAAAGACGTCCAGACTCTGCAGTAACTACATCAGAGGCGATGTCGACATCAAGAATTGCAATGAAATCCCAGCTTGATGAAAAACCGGCCTGAGTTGAGTGGTTTCGAGGAAATCGAATAAACATAATATATCCGGCATAGATGTCACACTATTGCAGACCTGTGTGTAAAGTTCTTTAGCTGTGGATGATTTCCTCGGAGAAGTGCTTCTATTTGTTATAGTACAACCTTAAGTGACAAAACACAGAGCAGACAAGATAGAAAAAGAGCAGTAAATCACAAGATTTAAAGGGTAATGGACAATCTGAGTCCCTGACAGTCTTGAGGTCTCCTGTGACTCAAGCCGTCTCCATCACAGCCTGCCTGGCAGGAGCCCATTTGCTGTGAATCCTTCAATTTTGCATTTGTCAGTGACAGTGCTCTCCAGAGGATGTTCCTTATTGACAAAGTGTACTCCCCCCACTCTAATGTGATTTGATCAAAGATGGCTGAAAGCTCACAAACACTTAGAGAGCACCAGCACTTCCCTAAAGAAGTGACATAACTCTTAGTCTGCTCTGAGACAACAGTTAGTAAGTGCTCCGCTCACAACTGCTAGCCGCTCAGATGGGGAGGAACATCCACGCACACACACACACACACACACACACGCACGAAGGCTTAAACATTGTTCATGTAATTTATTCTGCCAGAGCCTTTCCCTGTGTTTCTGACAGTAAGCCTGAGTCTAAGAGAGGCAGAATTAATTATGACTCCTCGGCCTATCTTAATTAAATCTTTTCACATCGTAGATTTCACACAGCAGAGGAAAAACAATATCTACCTCATCTCTAAGTTAAGAGTGGGAGACGGAGGGAGGGGCACGGACTGTGAATGTCTGACATCAAGATATCAAAGGTGCACTGTAAAGTTGCCTCTCCAGGATTACGATTTCACAGACGACTTGTCATGTCCGGCTCTTAACAGAGAGCAGCTTGTTATCCCGCTATTGTGGAGGCAGGCAGGGGGAAGTGCCGGGCAGAGCAGAGCAGAGCAGAGCGGAGCGGGGATCAGTGCAGCCTTGACTTTATCAACAGAAAGTTTGTTGCCCTTTTAAAGTACACAGTGCTTTCAAATTGCTCAGCTCAACTCTGGGTCCCTAGCTGGTCATCGTAGCCAGTCTGCTAAGATCTCTGTGGACTCAGCACTAGCTTTTGTGTGCATTTGGAAAAAAAAGGATTTTTTCCCCCCCATAACCAAAGGTCAGAGACAAAGGCAAATGTTTCATCACCTCCTACATTAAACTATTCACGGAACCGTTTCTTATTGCCTTGTCTAACTACAGCCTAGCCGTTAATGATCAACTAAAAATAGTCAGTATCAGAATCAGTTGCACAAAGAGACAGAAAAGGCACTGAGCTGTGGGATACAACTGAGTATCTGTTTACAGAACTGGTGATGCTGGCGTGTTTGTCCCCGGCTGCGGTGCGACCCCATTTGACTGTTAATGCCTGTTATTCCAGGACCTTAGACCTTGTGAGGACCAGCAGTCTGTTTGATGTAAACGGACGCTGACTGATTCACGGCTGTGATC